TCACTTGGCTACCAGTAAGCATCATTACCATAACTGGGGCCTGGTCTGGCTACAGCCACCCTTACCAGAAAGGGTATATTTCCAAATACACAAGGGGTGCCTTTATGTAATGTAATTTGTGCCTGCATTTTGATAATTAACCTGAAAATCTGCAGAGCTGGACCCAACTGCAGATAAAACTACTACTAAACTGCACCTTCAAACAGAAGGCCTCTATTTATTAGAGATAAATATTTCTAAATCTTTCATGTATCCAGTACATTTATTGTGGAGTTATATGTACTGGAATTTCATAACTTTGAACAACCTTGGGAGTTTTCTGCCGTGTTTAAACATCTCAAATAGACATAATAATCAGAGTAGTAATATGTTTTATAAGTTATTTTACCTACTCTCACATAAAGACACTTCTTTTACAGCATTCTGTGGAAGAATGGCATATACCAAAATGACATACATGCCTTCATTTTATATCAACTGTATACTTTAGCACAGATATGTCACAGTAGGTAGATTTCCCTTAGACACTCACCCTTTATCTGTATTCAGAAAATTCTACTAATCCCCATAAAGTCATTGGAAGTAGGGAAAAGCCCACCCTAAATCCATACGCAGTTTCACAGATGGAGACTGAAATGTACTGCTTTACTGTTTCAGAGACAGGCATCTACAGTTTATCTCTGCTTAGTGCAAGATATAAAAAATTACAAAAAATAATCAACAATTTTATGCTATGCTGTGTTGCATTTTGATCAGATATTTTTTGGATGATGTCACAGAAGACTAAGTATTTTAAAAATACTCTAGGAGCAATAATGTCCTTTGAAAATGTACTTATAGAGTTCAAAACATTCTAAATTAAACTTAAAGATGAAAAATGTTTGTTATATTCCCCTTACCTGGTTTCTGAGGCTTGTAATAGTTTTTTGCATTTCCAAAACAAATTCTCTGAAGTCATTTGACACAGGTACTTTCATATGTTCCTCAGATGACAAAGTGGCGTTATTAAAATATTTACCCTGTTTTGTAGAACTGCAACAAGAGGTAACAATATCAGAAGATCAACTCCATTTGACACTTTAATTTTGTTGTGTATTTTTAGGGACTATCAAGAATACAATAAATGGCCAAGTCCTATATTTATGAAGCACATAAATACAACAGGCAGAAGGCAGAGCAGGGTGTCAGGGTGCTTAGTATCTAATGAACTAGGCCAGTACCTACAAAAATCTTGTCTCTCTGAATAAACTTTCACAAGCTTTCTCAATAGACTCTAAGGTGCCTTCTTCATGGCTTCAGACTAATACAATTAAATGCCCTTCTCTCTTTTCATAAATAAAACAGTGTGATTGTAGCTGGACCTGGGCTCAGGGTCCAAGTAAATCCATAATTTTTTTTCTTAAGCCAGTTAAAACTGAAGGGTGTGCGTGTAAGGGTGGGGAGGGTGACATCCTAATCCACTTGCAGGTGATCTACGTTTAACCACTAGGCCTAAGCCCCAAGGAGAGGACAATTAATCAACAAAGTCAACAACATGGTTTGCCAAGGAGCACTTGCCTTAAGGACTTGTCTAGAAAGTGAGAGGCCTGGGTGATAGGCCTTCATCAGCCTGAAAGGACTCAAACCCATATCTCCCACCTCTGGGGGCAGTGCCTTTACTCCCAGACTAGGCTGAATAAAAGTCACCTTCCACCTCCAGTCCTCCTGTTGAAGCTGGCTCACTGAAGAAGCAAAAAGGAACCTGACTTTGTAGCCCAGTTAGTACAGCACTCTCTTTGAAGTGATATATTTGGGTGCTGGTCTTTGCTGTCAGTTATTTCTGGAGTTTTTTCCCCCCAAGTGGCTATCTACTGTAAGATGCATAAACACTCTTGCCACCAGAAACTAGAACTAGGACTCCCCCTTCACAACCAAGTGTCATAACCAATAGGTTAGTCACATTCTGTCTTTTTGCCACCTTTGGACTGTTTATATACACTTTACATATCCTAAATTTTGTCTAAATCCTATTAAGCACCTACACAGTGAATTATGATCAGGACCTTATAGATTTGAGGATAGGATGCTTCAACCTTATGTGATCTGTGGTGTCTGTGGGTTTTACCTTGTGCCTGTTTTTGGAGTAACTGTTTGACAGGGTTTGTGCTCAGAGCTGTGTGGGGAGTGATTTGCTTCAAGTGGGGATGGTTTAGGTAGTTGAGGGGAGTAGTCAGGCAGGGCCAGGCTACACAGCCTTATAAAAGGTAGCCCCTTGTGAACAGAGAAGAAGCAAATAGAGCCCTGCTCCCTTGCTCCCAGGAATCTTCCTCTCTATCTGCGTGTGTGGGTCTTTTTACTTTTGTTCTGTTTTCAGCAGCCCAGGTGTCTTCCAGGGAGCACAGGAGGCATTAATGGAGATGGGATCAACCGTTGTTACTTGCATGGGATGTGCCACATCCGTGCTCCTCTCAGAGGGTCAAGACCTTTTTATTTTATTTCCTCCAAGATCCGTCTATCTTGGAGGAACAGATTGAAGGTTTGGAAGCATGGGTATCCATGCTACATGCTATTATGGAAAATGAAGACTTTTTTGATAGGAATTGTGAGAAACTGGCACTAGAGAGGCCAAAGGGAAAAGAAGTGGCAATATGGACTTCTAGAAGGAAAAAGGTCCCTGAATTCAAGAGAAATGGATTGCAATCAGTAACCACTTTCAGGCACTCTTCAGTAGAACAGCTGGAGAAGAGGCAGAGGTTAAACATCAGCATGCAAGATGCAGAGAATCCAGCAGTCTAGAGAGCAAGAAGAGCAGGCAGGGGCTCTAACATCACTGCACTGAGAAAAAAGAGGAGTGTGGTGGTGGTACGTGACTCATTTATGTGGTGGACACAAACATCAGTCTTTTTGTCCAGATTTGAGGTCCTGGGAGGTGTGCTTTCTGCCTGGAGCCTGTATTCAGGATGTTACAGAAGGATTCCCAGAACTCGTCTATTCCTTACACCACTACCCCTTCCTGCTTTCTGCATGTAGGCACAAATGATATGGCCAGAAATAGCACTGAGCAGATCAGAGATTGTAAGAAAGGAAGGAAAATTCCTTCCGGGAAGGAAGATTAAGAAGCTTGGAACACAAGTGGTGTTCTCGTCAATCCTTCCAGTAGAAGCTAAGGACCCAGGCATGGGTTATTGTATCTATAACTAGACTCATGGCTGACACAACGATGTCAATGTTAAAGCCTTGGACTCTTT